TGATGTTCAAAATGTAGTGCATAGTTGGTTACCCTCCTCCTTGTCTTCTTCTTCCTGTCCATTTGCCTTAAAGGATGGTTCATTACATTGAAGGCCTTCAATATCATGTTAGTCATACCTTTTTTTTCCTTACAAGTCTAAACATTTCCTTTATTTATAATAGGTTGGTAACTTGGGTAACTGAACCTGATTTGAATTCCTGAGGCTTCTACTTGTTTGAAATGAAATTAAAATTCACCATCAGCTTGCTGCACCTCACATGTCTTCACCATAGCTCTATTCACCATCTTTACACTAAATCAAAAATATTTTTTCTGATGGAATCAAGAAGCCTTTCAGCCTCTGGAATAAGTGTGTTGAGGTGAGGGAAATTGCTTTAAAACTGTGTTTTATTCATGTTTCGTGGTTTCTTAAGTAAGCTGTTTTGGAGCTATTCTTAAATGTGCCTTATTTATTGATTTATCATAATATACTAATACCAATGATTTTTTTAATAAATTCTTCCTGTTTTCACAAGACATTAATAACATATCATACATTCTCAGACAGTAAAAAGATGAGTATCTAGGTTCATGTTCCAACTGCCTTTACCCAGCTGGAACGATAAGAAACTGCAAAATGCTTGTAAATAGATTCATGAATATTATCAGCCTCTGATGAGCATGAAAATTATTTGTAATGTTGCTGTCTCACTCTTCTTATCTGCAAAATAATGATTATTAGAGTAACTGGATCACTGTCTATGCACCATAACACAAGCAGTAGCTGATTTGATTTTCAATTTATGTTCTGATCTTCTGAACATAGTCCAAAAAATATTTTGCTCCTTTACTTGAATCATATCTTGCTGGCTCTAAACTTGTCAAAAGATAAATTTCAGGCCTTCACTTAACCACATCTTTAATAGAGCTCCTTGTGATGCTATAAACTGTTTGCTATGTAACATAAGTATTAGTTTTTACCAATTTTTAAAGCAGAGAAACACTCATTTAAAATTTATTTCTCTTTCAGGTCAGCAAAAGGCATGCACAGTCAGCATAAACAACATGGAGAGAAAAGCAGCTGTCCACAAGCCAGTGGATTACCCATGTCAGAACTTAAAATGAGGAAAAAGGACCATGAGAAGTGTAAAGTGTGTAGTGAGTTATTTTCTGCAGATGAAATGGTGTTTCATAAAAATATACACACAGGAATCAAACCACACATTTGCATTCTCTGTGAATTACAGTTTAACACAAAAACAAGACTGAAAATACACATGAAGTGCCACAATGGCAAGAAAGAGTTCAAATGTGAAACGTGTGGCAAGGAATGTCTTTCCAAAAAACTGCTCAAGCGTCACATGGGCAGCCACAGTGAAGACCGTCCATTTGAATGCGACATCTGCAGTCGTAAATTCAAAAGATCATATGAAGTTACGAAACATAAAAAGATTCATCAGGGTGAGAAGAACCATGTATGTGATGTTTGTGGCTATGCAACAATGCATAAAGCATGCCTGGAGACACATCAGAAAAGACACCTTGGTGATTATTTGTTCAAGTGCGACATTTGTGGTAAGGGATTTTTTTCAAGTTTTGAGTTCCGAGAACACAAGAACATACACACAGGTGAAAAACCTTACATGTGTGACATCTGTGGGAAGGCCTACACATCTAAGAACAGCCTCATGGCACATAAGAAAACTCATGAGCCTGATGCTAAGCCCACAGAAAAGGTTCATGAGTGTAAGATATGCAGCAAGAGATTTAAGTACCGTAAATCCCTCTTGGTACATGTGAAATCTCACTCTGGTGAAAAATTCCTGTGTGACTTCTGTGGGAAGGCATTCTCTACCAAAGACACTTTGAAACTTCATCGGAGAAATCACACGGGAGAGAAACCAAATGTGTGTAATGTGTGTGGTAAGGCATTCAGTGCATTATACACTCTCAAAGTGCACCAACTCATACACACTGGGGAAAAACCCCATATATGTGACCAGTGTGGGAAGGCCTTCACACAGCGTTCCACTCTAGTTGTTCACAAAAGATCTCACACAGGACAGAAACCATATGAGTGCCATGTCTGTAACAGGACATTTGTTTCCAGAACTCTCCTGAACTCACATCTCAGGAGTCATGGTGAACAGGCATACTACAAGCATAGTTTTTCAGTTGTGAATTGAAGGTGTCATTTGTAGGTGGACTGTGTCATTTCTGATCTGCACCCTGCATAGATACCTTGGGTTCACTGAAAGTGGCATGGTTCAGTCATTTGGCTTCCATTTTACTTTTGTCAACTGCAACATGTTTATGGTTAACTTCAGTGTACTTTCTCAGCATTCAAACTGTGTGCCTTCCAAATTCAATTCAGATGTTTTCCATTGGCATATTTCACAGTGATGTTGAGGATTTCCAATGTATATGTAAATTTTTTAATCTTGGTATTTTGAAGAATTCTTAATCAGCCCTTATATGCTGAAAGGGACTCATTGTCTTGCTACATCATGATATTATTAAAAATGTTATGTATTAACAAGAACAACTTCATGTGTGTCTAACGACCTCACAGATTCATTTGTAATTGAATCATCCACTTTAAGAGGTGGGTTTTATTTCTAACATTCCCTGAAATTTGCAAAGATCTTGGAACATTTAAAATGGCTGTCTCCAAGAAACCACCCCTTCTTTGTTGTCCTACAATATGCCAAACCCAAAAGAAATATCAAAAGATGATTCAGAAATGCCCGTGCTTATATTACCACATCATTTATAAACCCACACTACCTTGTCCTTGTTATTTCATCAAAATATTAGTGCCCCACTGAGGTACCAATGGTTTGATTTTGCGTATATACTTAAAGGAACAAAGATTAATACCCTGCTCTGCTTAAAATATCAGTGACCTTACAAATTGTTAATGCTTTTATTTAAAAAAAAACAGTCCCATTCAGGAGGTTCATATCTTATAACAAAAGGCTGTAGTACAATATACTTTTGAACATGTGATAGTTTCCAGACAGATGATTTCTTTTCAATTATATGTCTCACAGGTCCACAATAGTGTATTTTCCTAGCATCTAAATTGTCATGTAAATGAAGAGAGAAAATTATCCATGTATATACCATGTCCATCCTTGACATGTCACTGTTTCCTTTGCCATTATAAACTTTCATATTATATAAATATACCCTTTTGTCATTCAGTTTATAGATCTGTATACTAAACTGTTTAATGTTCCTTTGTTATGTATAAGCTGAAAACAACTATCTTTGAATAACCTTGAACACTATTTAAATGCTCAGTCAGACTGTAATATGTAGCATGCACATCATCAAAAAATTATTATTATTAATATGCATTCCATGCACAAAGTGCATAGGAAGAATGCATTATGGGTTGGTTGTGTCTGTCCACCCATCCATCTCTCCAGTCGATTCTACTTGAGAACCACTGGATGGATTTGGATTAAATTTGATGTGAAGGCCGTGCTGTTCTGCACAACCTCAAAATTGTACTTTTGATTGTTCTATGAGTGGTGACAACAAAATGATGGCTGAGGAAATTTGAGAAGTAGATGTCAAGGTGCTGCTGTCTGGTGGCCAAAGTGGAAACTATCAAATAGTGCAGATTTAATGCAAACAAATGCACATTACAAAGAATTCATGAGAAAATATTTGTATGCCAGTGTATTATTATTAAAACCATCAGCATAGTTTTCCAGATTCTTCATTATTTCCGTCTTCCATCTTAGAAGGCAAATTTCTGTTGTCACTGAAATAGCAAAATCTCATTAAGAAGAAATGTCTTCTTTTCTAATGTGAACCATACCTTTGAATGTGCTCCATTTGTACAAATATTACATACAAACAAGTGTATTTCCTTTTTAATGACATCAATGAGCTTGAATGGATTTGAGGAGAAGTAGTGACTGTATTATCCAGATATTCACCCAGAATGACGAAGAGTAACCATGGAAATCCTGTCATAATACTCTGTGTCATAGGCGAGGTTCAAACCAGGCATCTTCCAAATACAAACCAGAATCATTATTGCTTGGCTTCGTACCATAAGTTTTATTTTGCATTCACTTTCCTGGACTCTGTATATATCTTGAAATAAGACTGTTAGCACCTGAGTAGAGCAAACACAACTGTAAGTGTACATGGGTTAACCCACTTTTCAACTTTCAGTTGCCAGCCATTTATATAACTGCTTCAGTAATGAGGAGTATTTATCAGCACACAGATAAAGTGTTCCAAGAAGAGAGACAGTTACACAGGATCATGTAGAAACGAGGGGTTTCAGACACAAACTGTCCTTGACTAGGCTGAGAATGCTGCATATCTTGGGTGTTGAGGACATTTGAATGTGCCACATTGGAATCCAGCATGGTTAGACAGACTTTGAACAGAAAGCCTTGATGTGGCTCCTTCTCAAGCTTCCTCATCCCTAACTCCGACTGACCAATTTACATGACGTAATCCAAATATAAACAGCCTGGGGATTAATGGTTTAGCAGTATGTTAGTGTGATGCACCACTAGCTGGACAAAATGAAAGACACAACATATGGATGACAGATGTTAAACATAAAAATCAGCAGAATATGAATTATTTATAACAAGTTCATCATATATAAAATCTATGGCACCTCTTCTCAATTAGGAACAGTGACAGGACTTTCCTTTGCTGCTATCCTGGGCCTCGAAAAATTTTGTGCATTTCTTATAATCATTGGTCAGAACCTAAGTTCACTGACAAATGAGTATGAGTGAGAGAGACTGCGTGCTTATTCCTATCAAACATGTTGGCCACTTTTACAAGTTCGGATAGCATCTTAAAAAATGTCATGACTGTAACCTCACCATTTCTTCCCAGTTCACCATATATATTCATCCACACACACACACACACACTATATATAACATTTGCAGTTGATACAACATTGTTAAATAAACTATGAACCAACTACATCTTCATGTGTGAAGAATTGAGATGACACAGCTGCTGTATTAAAATCTTAAGAAAACTGAAAATTTACTGAAGAATGTTCAATGAAAACTGCTTCATTTTATTTTAGGTATTCAGTTAATGAACATGTTTTGTTATAATAATTGCAGTTAAGTTTAGTTTCCATTAAGTATTTCTGCATTGTTACTAGTGGCATTCAAGTCAAAATGCTGTGCACATACAATTTAAGTATTATGTTGAAGTTGTATGTTTGGACTGGGAGACATCAAATGAGAAACATTTAGTTATTCAGTTTAACTGTCTAAAATGGTGTAAAATTTTCCTCTCTAGTCCATTTCCAGTGGGTTTATTTACATTATAATGAAATGGATGGCCAGGTTTGATTCCTGCAAAGGCTATGGGAATTCTTCTTTTCACCACCATGACAAGGCCTATTGGGTGCTGGGAGCTCTTTACCTTGGAATGAAGTGACTAGAAGCTGTCCCCTCACCTTATCTAATGCATAGGTAAAAAGTGTGTGACATATTGTCTTTGCCTATTTTACACCTCCAGGACATAGTGCCAAGTCATATAGATAATGTGACGTAGGTTGGTACACTCTTTAATTGTCAACCCTGATTTATTCCGGCCCTCAGCACCCCCACTGGACACACGCTGGCTCCTCAGCCGCCACGGTCAACAAACCTGGTGCTCTCACACGCAGCCGACCTACTCATCCTGCAGGCGACCTTTTTATAATCGCCAGCCCAGCTGTAGAAGCTTCCAGACCAAGAAGTCTGGAAGGTTCGCTTCCTGGAAGTTACGACTACTAGAATGTTTCCCTTCTAGTAATTTTTGATAGCTTCTACCATCCCTCGGGAGGGGAATACGGTGTGTAGAACATTCTGTAGCGGTCACACGTACAGTCCTCGTCCCCTAGCCAGGGAGGGGAGTCAAGCGGCCCTTCCCCTCCAGCGCTAGCCTTCGGGACGTATGACGACACGTTACAATAATTTAATATTCTCCCTCTGTCATTTGAAGTAATCTGAAAGAGAATAAAGATCTGTTTTACTGCTTATCCTTTGTTTTTGTCTAATTCAGAAACCATATTTAAAATGGAGAGATGAAAACCCCAGTTGTCATCATTCATCCTATCCCTTCTTCAAGTCTGTGCAGTATCCATTGCCAAATGTGGGATTTATTTTCATAAACAACAGTCCAGTAGCAAGATACAACAAATGTAATAATTTATGGAGAAAAACAAAGTACCAAGAATGTTCAGGTGTTTGCATGCGTGTGCACACACACACACAACTTTTACTCATGTAACCTCCCCACTGCCTGTTTTGGGATGAATTTTTTTTTTCTCACCATTCCAAACTGAAAAATGTATAGATTTTATTAAGATACTGCTTATAGTTTGAGGTGTCTATACATCCATACTGCATGATCAAACACTTGACTCTAAGAAGATTACAGGAAATTTTGTATTCAGGTCAACTGTACAAAAACTGGAAGTGCTTGATAAGGCTTCTTACAGTAAAACTTAACCACTAATTTGAAAACTTGGCAAGCAAGAAGCAAGACACTCATCCTTTTTTTGTTTCAGCCACTGTTCTATTTGATTCAAGTCTGTAAATTATTTTCATCCAATCTGCCACGTATGTGATTTTGTTTCTACACCAGATACTTCTTCAAAGTTGTATCCTGTAACTGAAGGCTACTATCTGTCAGTGAATTTATTCATCAAGGGCTTGCAAGCCCAGATAGGCAGAAATATATTACATATACATGAAGTTTATCTTATGTTATATGCTTTACTGTGTAAAGAATGCACAATAGTAAGAAAAAACTATTCATGGCCTGAGACATGTCCCAAATTTCTGAACTTTCATAAATAATTTGGCTAATAAAGAAGACCACAATCAAAATCACTTTTGAATTAAATAAGAAATGTGACCACTGCAGCCAAGAACTGGAATAGGATTTGAACATTTCTCAGTTGTTTCACTTAGAAGGACCACAAGAGGAGTTTCAACATAACTGCATCCAACACAACAAATGTAAATTAATTTTCATAATTTGAGTAAATGTAAACTAAGCTCTCTACAGATTTGAATTGTTTTTCAGTAACAATGCAGTAAGAGGTGATACTTTAACTGGTAATTATCAAATAGATTTAACATTGCCTAGTCAATAAAGTAACTGCCTGTGGACAGGTATTGATTCCTGGCAGCAGTACAGATTTTCATATTTTGCAGTACACCAAGAATGGGTGACCAACACAGACTCCTCTTCAGTGAATGTCAAGACAATCATAACATGAAACTGACCATTCATTTCCATCTACACTTGATATACACAACACGTGGATCTTTACTTCCATTCTCCCTAGGCACCTTCATGGCATGGTGTTCAAGCACAAGGGAATTTCAGCATTATCGTTTGTCTGATGACTAACTCTACTACAAATAGAATATCAATTTTGTTATATTGTCACAGTTCTTAGACAGACTTGGATGAGATATCTACAATTGTGTATTCCTAACCTAATATAAATATTTAGTCACCTGTCTACATCAGCATGGTAACTGTTGTGAAGTTTCATTATTATACTAACTACCTATGAATTTATTATATTCTGATTACATAAAGATGTTAATGGTACCACACAGGCTGATTTGCCATGATTGCCAAGCCTCTATAGGAAAATCCCTGTTCAGAATATTACACAAATATAACCCTACTATGCAAGTGTATAAAGCAGTCTGAATAAGTACCATAGTGTCTCTCTTTGTGCCCCTTTGTTTTTAGTGCTGCATTTGACTCCATCTTAAGGGTGAGTAATGGATACGAACTACTTCAGGAAGTATCAGTCAGATATATCTTTGCTCTAATTTTGTTGAAGTAAATAAATCATCAGCATAATAGCTCTTCTTTATTATTGCATATTCAATATAAATACTCAGGCAGCATGTCTTTAGAATTCCACTTTCCTTTACGGCTTAAACAAATTGCTAAAACTCAGTGAGTTGCTACAAACTAATGGCTTTGTTTTGTTTTGTACTTTTAACATTCAAATTTTTCTGTTTACCACATCCAGAATAGTCCTAGGTTCATTTAGCCTCTTGTTAAAACAGAAGCTTTTCTTGTGGATACAGGCAAACTGAATGTAAACTGCCCACTCATTTTTGTGTATTACTGAGGTTAAAAGTGCATGGAATTTTATCTTACACCCATTAAACATCTCCACAACACTGACATTTACATTGACATTTATTAGGTCTGTTGGTTACAGTTTACAGTGTCAGAGATGTCCACTTCTGTATATATTTATATTATCTTAACATTCTTTTTACTTTCTCTATTTCCAATTAATACTATATCACTATCATCTTTGCTATCCCCTAATTTATGATTCATTCATCCTTATATTTATTCACTGACCCTTTCCATGTCCCTTGAATTTGCTTATAGTCCAGTTTTCCGCAGTTTTACATTATTTTTTGTTTGTACCTATGCTAATTCCAATTTCTGGATCAGTACTTATAAATCTTTTGTCTACAAACGCCTCTCTCAAATTTCTACCTTCCTTGCATCTCAATATGTTGTTCCAGCCTTACTATTTATTGAACATAGGACATCATCACTTGCTCAGTATTTCCTAAAAGACCCTTCAATCTATAATATCCATTTTTCAACGTCCTATACCCCTTACAGCCTCCTGGGTACATACTTCTAAGTATAATTCTTCATATCATACTTGGCCATTTTGCCACAGAATAGTTCTTGAGGCCAAGTAGCTACTACTTAATACATACAATTGGTTCCTTTCTCAGGAATAAGAGTATTGGCATCTTGAAACATGAATATGACCATCATCATCTAGGAACGATAATGGAAATTCAAGGAGCTTTATCTTCTAGTCTCTGTGTAACTTTATGGCATGGTGCTTTAGCACAGAAATAACTGCCATTATTTTTATATCATGCCTTATACTACCATTTCTACTCATGTGTGTGAAAATTCATAAGAGATCTAAATTGTTATTGCAATATCAAAAATGTACCAATATTTTACATAAATCTGATGGTCACTGGACACAAACTCAGGTGAATAAAGAAAATATATAAACTGTCCCAATGACTCTCACTGTTCACAAACCTGGCCCCTGTTTATCATTACTCTGATATTAATATAAATCAACATATCACTGTGTATATTTCAGAACAAAAATTAGTCCACACCCAGACATCAACAGATAAGTTAAGTAGCTCATATAATTTTTACACTTCTTTAAGGATAAATGAAGTGACTAATCACTTAGAAGTTTAGAAACTGGTTTTGAATAGTGATAGAAGGAATTTAAAAACTTAAGACTAGGGTGTTTTTAAAATTGGGACAAGCAATGTGGTGCTTGTGTGGAAATGTATGACAAAGCAAAATCTATTGAACACAGAGAATACTCTAAGTCTTTAAACTTCCACAACATTTGTTCAGACTTGTTTTCATTTGTGTGTGACAATACCACGTTATGGTGGATGGTGTTCCAGTGCTTTAGATATACAAGTGGGCTCTGTAGTTAGGGTGCCTTCATAAATTATTTGGTGATGGTTGGTGGTGGTTTAATGTCTTGGCTAGAAGAATAGAGAAGGGAGGTGACTGACTCATGAATAAAGGGAGGGACATGGGCAAGGCTTGCTCTGCTGAGACATACAAGTAAGTGGTGATAATAACTTTTAAGCATAGTATTGGAAAATTAAAATTCATAGGAAACTAGAGGTAAGAAACATTTTATGGCCACTTACCAATAATTAAGAATATGAAGAGCACAGAAATATGCAGAGTAATGTATAGAAGCCTATGTGATACATTCAATTCAGAGATAATATATGATTATGATGACTTACCTGAATGGCACGTCAGTGCCTTGAATGTTTTATTTATAAATACTATTTCTCTCTATCAGTATCAGTATGAATATAATTTATAATATAAAAATGTTTGCTTAAAAAATTATTCTGCTTTCAGGGTAACAAATGACATACATGTGAAGTCAGATGAAGCCAAAAACAACAAAGGCCCTCAGCATCCCACAGTGGTATGTGAGTTTTGTGGGAAGGTTTGTAGTGTACGGCAAATAGGAGCACACCGACAGACCCACTCCAGAGACAAACCTCACCACTGTAGTGCATGTGGCAAGACGTTTATCAGTAGTGCACAGCTCAACTCTCACTCAAGGACTCACAGCACCCTGAAGGAATTCAAGTGTCAGTCTTGTGGAAAAGTGTTTGCATTAAACAAACGGTTACAAATCCACATGAAGTGTCACAGTGAGGAGCGCCCATATGCATGTGATATTTGTAACAAACGGTTCAAGCGTTCCTACTATCTTGTTGATCACAAGCGAATTCACACAGGTGAGAAAGTCCATGAATGTGATATCTGTGGCTACTCATGCATTCAGAAGGTTCACCTTGTGAATCACAAGAAACGGCATTTTAACCAATACAAATTTGAGTGTAACATGTGTGGTAAGGGTTTCCACACAAATACAGAGCTACAGGGACATAAGAATGTGCACACTGGTGACCGTCCATATCAATGTGATATTTGTGGCAAAGCATATCCATCTAAAACAAATATGATGGGGCATAAGCGAGCCCACCACCCAGACTCAAGACAGGACCCCAAGCGTTATCAGTGCGAGACCTGTTGCAAGTCTTTCACATACAAACGCTCTCTACTACTTCATATTCGGAGCCACAATGGGGAGAGCAACTTTCTTTGTGATGTGTGTGGTAAGGCTCTTACGAGCAATGAGACACTCAGAGCTCATCGTCGGATTCACACTGGTGAAAAACCAAATGTGTGTGCTATGTGTGGTAAAGCATTCAGCAAAGCAAGCTACCTGAAAGTGCACCAGCGCACACACACTGGTGAGCGGCCCCATCACTGTGATCAATGTGGAAAGACATTCACGCAGCGCTCAACACTTGTTATTCATCAGCGTTACCACACGGGACAGAGACCATACCAATGCCAGATCTGTTATAAAGGTTTTGTGTCTAAAACTCTGCTTAAAACACATCAAACTTCCCACAATGTCTCTAATCTGAACCACATATTCTAAACCAGTCCGAATTTTTATAATATTGTTTTTAACATTGATGGTGAATACAAGTATTAAGTGTACAAATAGGTTATGATCAGTCACTTTGATACTTCAATTCCTAACCTCCATTACACTTCACACCAATATGTCCTCAAGAGATGATGCTGAAGTGTGCATGCGTTCGTCATGATGCCAAATATATTGTGTAGAAGTTTCTCTGACAAAAAAATACTATTTTATAGAACTTCTTCCAATCTGTATTAACCTTTTACACATTCCTGTAAAAATACTAATGCACAGTGCTACAATCACAGTTTTTGTAAGTATTTACATTTTAAATGAGATTTTACTGTGTTGGTAACAGCAAAGGCTTAACTAATACATGTTCTGTGATAACATCCCACATAGCCAAATATTACCATTACATATAAAATAACAACAGTAACTGCAAACAAAAGGAAGCTATGTAAGATTTGAAGTTTTCACTGAGGTGAGTCCGAAGATTGCTGTCTTCTGGGTTGTTGCGTCATGTAGTCTGCTAGATGTACGCAAATGTTTTAGAGGTCATCTACCAGACTAAACAGCACAACAACCCAGAAGACAGCAATCATCAGACTTACTGCTGCGAAAACCTCAAATCCTACACAGAAAATATTTCTTTCCACGATCCTTCTCTTCCTCATGTAACTGCAGTACTGATGTGCTCAAATCAAATACTGAAAGTGGCATGGATAAAAAAAAAACACAAAACAGCACAAAGAACACAATGTATGTAATTAAATGTTAGAATAACAAGCAGGTAAAAAATAAACAATATAAAAATAACACAAAATAAACACCGGAGTGACGTCCGCTGTATAGCGCAATAGAGCCACAACTTTGTAAACGAATAACAACTTACCGCAGCAGACGTCCCCCCCCCACCCGGCGGACCACCTGCACAGGGCTAACACCCCAAAGCCAAACCAAATTTTGATGAACAAAGACAAATTACAATTTCCATGCAGTATGTGGGGTGAAAGCCTGCACAGAAGTCGTTTTCAGAGTTTCATGACAGCAGTCCCAAACAGTGGATGTAAAAGGTAGACAGGTGGGACCAAGGGCAGCTTTGCATGGCCGTTCGGTCACATTCACAAAGATAATTGGTTGATCTTCACTTAATTAGCCATAACCCTTTGGTTATGGCTACCCATAGCACACTGACAAGGGGACCCAGTCTATTGTCATGGCAGCAGTTTGTGTGTGCAACCGGCAAATTCCACTGTGTTAGGGTAATCCCTGGCACTAGAAACAAATAAAAGTACAATGAGTTTCATGTCCACAGTCTACCACCATGAAAAATAAAACAAACCTTTGCATAAGAATTTGAAAACTATTGGTCAGATTGTCAGACACCGTGAGAAAGTATTATGTAATAATAATTTAATTTCAGTCATAATATGTTGAGAGACCAGCTGTTATTTCCAAATGTGAATAATGGAAGAAAAATAATTAAATGTGAAGATTTGAAATTAAATTAAATTTTCTGGCCTCAACAGCCATGATATACAAGGGTTTTAAAAAACTTTCTTTTCTTGTACTTCATGTTATTATAAGGTGCAGCACTTCCACACTGTCATCCATCCTCAAGTAGTTTTTTAAAACTATGATGACAGTGTGGAAGTGCTGCACCTTATAATAACATCAAGTACAAGTGAAGAAAGTAGAAAATAAAACTGCATTTTCCAAGGAAATGGTGTAGTGTTTATGCGTAACATTTGTCCAGGAAGTCAGAGGAGGGGCCACTGCCATACTGCAAAACCTAAGTCAAATTGAAGGGTAACAAACATCTTAATGTAGAAGATGCAAAAATACATGCAACATGGCAGTGGTATGAATTATTCATTCATTTAAATCTTGGAGGATGGGAAAAGAAGAAAATGTAAGAATTGAGTGACCTTACCACTTCTTTTCAAGTCAGTTGACATCCTTCTTATTTCTTGTTTTGTTTATTCTCTTCGTCAGTGTCATATATATTGAGAAATAAGTCATCCTCCACATCGATGACATTTTTCCTAAACACATGAGTTTATTACACATTTTTATAAGGCTAAACAATATCATTGGACAAAGATGCAAAATAAAGCTGAAGACTAATATATCAAAAATAAATTCATGTTAATTGAAATTTAGCAGTGTTCTATAGTGTAATAAAAATTGTAATCAAGAACATTTTGTTTTCACATTGAAATTCTGTCTGAAGAGATAAATGAATATAACTGTAATAAGTTAATAAATAAGTACACATAAAAATCTGCACTAAATCATAATTCACTAGAAAATAATATTTTTAAACTTACTTCAACAAAAATTTCTTAATTTCTTTATATGTATATTTGTCATTATCTTTATTATCATCTTCACTGTGATTCTTCCTTTCATATCCCAATTGTGACGTCAAGTTGTTCAAACCATGATGTATGTCTGACCCTATAAATGATTTCAGTGTTGGTTCTAGAGATCTCACACCTGCATATGAATCGGTAATGATTGCCAGGAACACGTTCTGAAACAGAAATGCGCATTTTAATTTAAACATGTATTCTAAACAAATAAACAGTATTGTTACTATTGCATCAGAATATCTACTAAAACAAATGCAGACTATCACTGAGTAAACCATTTTAATATTAATGCATCTTGCATATATATCTATATGTTGTTTTAATATAGGCTGCAACTGATATTTTGGTTATTTCAAAATATATTAGTTACTGTACTGCAAACTGAAAAATATTATCATTATTATTCATTACAGTTCTCTCCTTTCTTCCACCTATAGAATGTTATTCTGTGGTCCTCATAATAGCAAGATAAGTAAAAGACTTTTGATTTAAATTAACTCATTTTTGTATGTCATTTGAAAACATGTTTACACTTACCAACAATATAAAGAACACCAAGAAGACAAATGAAATGTAAAAAAATCGTGCTAGAATGGGACTGGCTTCTTCAACTGCAAGAAAGTCAAAATCTCCAATAGTTGCTCTTGAAAGTGTTGAGACAGTTGTCGGAAGTGTTCGGAAATCTTTAACCTGTGATTAAAGAAAGAATCAGTAAATTATTGAGGCTACTTGAATTGTCAAAGGTTGTGCTACTTGGTCACCACTTCACTTCTTGTGTTTTCTTATTGTTTATTTATTTAATTTTGTTTTGTACAAGCACAAGCTGTTTGTTATTGTAAGAGGGAAATGGTGTGTTGTCAATGCTAAAACTTGGTTTAAATTTTATTTCATATTATGTCCTTTTCAGATACATTAATGAGAATCTATAATTAGTTTGTGCAGATACAGTGATAAGGAAGTTGAACTGCTGGTGAAAGTGCTTTGGAGTTGATCTCAAATAAGTGGTCAGCAGAGCCTGTCAGATTTGAACTGTCAAGCGTAAGTAGTCCTGATTACTATTGTCAGGGTGTTGAAATCTAGGATGTTATTGTGACCTGAGGATATAACTTAGAGGAGTCAAACGCATGTAGAATTTTCTTGGTGAAAACTTTTGGAAGGCAACAACTTTGAAGAATGAGAAGATGCAAGCATAACATAAGATTGATCTTGAATAGATTGGGGTGTTGTAAAGGGAGGGAGGAGTTGATAAGTATATCCATAGTGGGCTTTGGTGTTAGTTGTGTTGAACATTTGTATTCATTTTTGAGAATTCTTAACTAGATGGCTTACAGAAACCGAAGGTTCATCACCTAATTAATCAAAGCCCTCCACCGGACCATGTCCTGGGCCAACAAAGTCCAGTCTCCTTCAACTCCGATAGTTTGACAATTCTTAGGGTTAAATAATTCAAGGTTGATTTTTCTCATACACACCTTCACACTAGTGTAAACTGTTGAAGTTGAACATTTCTGGATACATAGTTTGTTTAATCAGACTAGATATCATCCCATCATTATACATATGCACTCATATGTAAATGCCCATGCAAGCCCATATATATATATATATACATACATCATAGAAACACACCTGTGATCCAAACAGTAGGTAACCCAGCTGAGCGAATATGATAAAAATAATGAGGAACATACATAAAAATGCAGCAATCTCCGTGGAACACTGTAAAATAAAAAGGAAAGGCATAAAATACCATTATGTTTATGAAGTTACATCAGTATCATCTTATTAGGATCTGGTAAGAACTTTATAAATCAGTATCAATTAGGAATCATACCAAAACTGCAGAATAACAAATTTAGATATACACTTACCCTGGCAAGCGTCATGCTGAATTGGGACATGGTGTCATAGAAACGGGTGTATTTGAAAACCTTGAACAACGTTAGACATGCCAGGACAGCAGTTGTAGTGTTGTACGTGACTTGATACAAACCAATGGAGTCAAAGTCTGTAAACTTCTCCTCACCAATAACTTGAATTATTTGTGGTTCAATAACCTTATAGCTATAGAGTCTGAAGCATATAATAGCATAGGCCAACTGGGGAAGAAAGAACACAAGCATAGAATTACAATCACAGAAAGAATTAAGTGCACTACATACTTCATTCAAGCAAAGTTGCCCATTGAATAAGAAAAAAATAATAATAATAATAATTCAACATATAGTCTGTAGGTTATTTAATTGTTATTTAACTTATTCAATTGCATGAGCTACTGAATAATGAACAGGATGAGATGACATTTATGTACAGGTACCGAGAACAAACTATGGAGGAAGCAGCATATGCCTGTTTGTTCTAAGTTTAATATCTAACTAGATGGCTTACAGACCCCGAAGGTTTGTCACCAAATTAACCAGAGCTCTCCAACAGTCCCTGTCCTGGGCCAACAAAATCCAGTCTCCTTCAACTCCTATCTCCCATAGATCCCGCTTGACATTATCCTCCCATCTACGTCTAGGTCTCCCCAGCGGTCCCTTCCTCTCACGCTTCCTGACTAATACCCAGTGCACACCTCTTGCCCCATCCATGTGCGCTACATGCCCAGCCCATCTCATTCTTCTCGACTTAATCACCCTAACAATACTGGGGGAGGAGCACAAATTTTTAAGCTCATCATTATGCAGTTTTCTCCATACCCCATCGTCTTCTCTCCTAGGGTCAAATATCCTCCTCAACACCCTATTCTCAAACAACTGCAATCTGTGTTCCTCCCTCAGAGTGAGAGACCATGTTTTGCAACCATACAAAACAACAGGCAAAATTATATGGATGAAGTGGTTAGTTAGTTAAGTTTCTGTAATTGCCAGTATTATGAGCCAGGAGAGTGCAAAGAGTAAAGTATGGCTGCTTGTCAGTTAGATCACCATCAGCATAGTTCTGTTTCAGAGAGGGGTATATTTTTTTCTTTATCGATACATTAAAAGTATTCTGGGGTCCACACAGTGTCCTGTTCAGTGGTTTAGGGGTAAAGTTGAGGGATCATCAGACTGATCACTTTTCTTCATTTGGTACTGGTTATGTTTTGATATGATGTTCATGATTACATGCAAATGGCATCAGAATAAAAGGATAGTAAAATCAGAAAGAAAGTGACATCTATAATATCTGTACAAGTGTCTTATGCAGTTTGCAAATCACGTATTTCAAACACTAATGAGCATCTCAGAAATTTACTTCTTGTGCCTTAACTATTAATGTCAATATGAAATGGTTGAAGGCAATACTACGTTTATTCAGTCCATACTATCTCAAGTCACAGTAGAGAATCTTACCACAAGAATGATCTGATCCAAAAAATTCCATAAAGAGTGTAGGTATTTGTGCTTTAAAACCACAATTTCCACTATCTCTTCTATGGTGTAGAAAACTGTGAACACTACGAACATGCATTCACAGACTGCAATAACGTAGTCAAATCCAGTCACATAATGATGGAGCTTCACTATCCTGCGGAGGGATGATGTAATCATTCCTCCTACTGGTGGTTTCTCAAAAACAAGCCTGTTAATAAAGACATAAAGAAGTTCAGTAATCACCAAGTGGTTAAGCTGTACTCTTAGGTGGCACTAACAAGATATGTTTCAGTTATAATGCTCATGCATGTATTTAGCCTCACATATATTATGGGCCTTAAAATATATTAATGAATGAAATATACACAGTGTTCCATAAATGGCTGGGAATTTATTGACTAGCTAAGCAATTATTAGCTTGTCAAGAAAGACTTTCCTTGATGGGGCTGATTATTCTTAGTAATATTGTGATACCTCATTGGTCTTGATGTTCATTCATTGGAGATCTATTGCAGGAAATTTTACACCACAGATGTCACATCATATAGTCATAATTTGTTTTTCCTTACATTTAATTCAATATTTACTGTATTGAAAAATGTTTCAAATTAAAACAGAAGATCTGAATGAGATCTATATTTTATGTTGTGTATCATGATTTTTGTATAGTGAGCCATTTTTGGAAAACTGGTATACCATTTGATATGATCCTCATGTAAAACAGAAGTTACATCATACTGATATAAACTTAAATTAAATTTTCCAGATATCTGGTGTTAATATGTGGATAGACATTACCATCCTGTTAGGCAGTTTATCGAAAGGATGCATAAAATGGTTAATATTAAGGATATTGAACATAATTATGATCATGTTGCACATCTGTTCATGTGCTCAGTTCTATATGTATTTATATTGACTTGTAGACAAGTTTCTTTGTTAGCCTGCAAACAGCCTATATGTGATTCTTCTTGGTATTTATATTCCCATTCAAATTAATATAATTACCATTTGCACTGTCTGTGTCATTTAATTTGGCTTATAGTAGAAGTGAGTCCAGGAGGGAGTAAAGTTAGTATGACATGTTTTGTACATAGAAAATATAAATATCTGTGATAAAGATAAAAATTTGAAAGTGAGAACTTACTTCACAGTTAAGAATATATTAATATTTGAATTATAGACAGTAAAGTCAAGGAAAATGGCACGTGTTCCTCTTGTAATCCACCGATTATTCTTCAAGGTAAGCAATTTCTCAATGGTTTCACTACGGTCGAGTGACAGATCTTCATAATATCCTCCACCACCATACGTTGAGAATATTCCTGAATGACTGGAACCATGCAGTTTTTTTTCAGTGGAATAAGTCCAGCTGTAGTCAGAAATAGTAAATTAGTCTGCGTGTTTTAATTCCAATATACAAACACATAAATATTAGTTCTGGTTGTGTGCATGCATACACACACACACACACACTATAGTATTACTTTTTTGAAGAAGTCCTAAACAAAATCAGAAAACTATGTTGTACTGCATGGACATTGATGGACCGTGTTGTAAAATAAACCTAACTTATCTGCTAATAACAGTTCCATTTCTCCAAGCAATTTATAGAGGCAGCTATGTGGTATTTACCATATCTTTCGTATGTTTTCCTATAAACATAAAGGGAATATTTCTATTCATATCAATAAAGTGGTCTACTGAAAATGTTAATTGAAAACCTACGCTGTTCCGATTCCTGGCCCAAATGGTTCTTTATCTTCTTTTCCAGATGAATATAAATCATAACATGTTGTGTATAATCGCTGGAATGCTTCAGGTACTATGCATGAATCACTTCTCACTTTTACCTGTAGACAATAAAGTTTTATTTTCATTCAAGTTACTACAAAGTCCTATGCTTTAATAATGTGACACCTATTCATAAGACATGCTGTATGATGAAACAGTTTATATGAGATTCTCTGTAATGTTTTTAATATTCACAATTAGGAAATTCAGATTGACTTATAAATCATAAATCATGTATTATCACAAGAATGCTAACTTTATTTCACTGAAAATGTTATGTTATAAAGGAAATGTATAAACCTGTCGTAGGCGTGGTACTCCAATTAGCTTACTATCTTGCAACATATATCCAACTGGTTGTTGCGTATCATCTTCGAAGTTCCAGTATAAACCGTCAATCATTACAGTCTCTGCAAACTAAAAACAAAATTAGTTAATCACGTGTAAACACAAAGATTGTAAGTTATATACCGACTGTATGAGCCGGGATAGCTCAGTCAGTATAGTGACTAGCTACGGGCTGGACGACCGGGGTTCGATCCCCAACGGGGGCAGAGGATTTTTCCTCTAGCCTCTGCGTCCAGACCGGCTCTGGGGCCCACCCAGCCTCCTCTACGATGGGTACCGGGGTCCTTTCCCGGGGGTAAAGCCGGCCGGGGCGTGATGCTGACAACTCATCCCCATCTAGTGATGATGTCAAGGAAGGGAGGAGCTATACCTCCTCTCACCCCAAGCGTCTACATGGCGCATACTGGGACGAACTTTACTTTACTTATACTGACTGTACAGTGGGGAGTGCATTCTGAAACCATTATCTAAATATGAACTATCAGTCACTAACTCTGTATGATACATATTATTCTTAGAGTAGTTGATATGCAATTACTTAGATCATTAAGTGTTTTTTTAAAGGAAATGTGGTCATGCTGAGAAAAGCCTGCCTACTTCCAGGACTCATTTTAATACTGTTCTTTTATACATGAATATGATTTCTATGTGGTCTCTTCCCTTGAGATTTTTCAGTCAAAATTATGAACACATTTCTCTTTCTTGAATATTATTTTTCCTATCTATTTCATCTTTCATGGAAATTATTACATAATGAAGAGCTTCATAACTTATGCATAATGCTGTCAGGGTGTTTAAATCTAGAAGATTGAGATTGGCAGGCCACACAGAAAGTATGCAGAAAGATGGAATTCGTACAAAATTTTATTTGGAAGATTTTATGGAAATAGACCAGCTGGGAGCACCAGGTTGCTTTTAGTCATATGGATACTGACTTGACAGTGATGTTAATTAACCTTCTGGTGCCATAATAGAAAATTTCTTGTACAGTTGGATAACTTTTTTATAGTAATGTTGTTGACTGCTTAATCAGTTATTTACAAGAAAGCAAATGATTTCCTTAAATTACTTTGTTATCTCTACATTACAGAATTTAAGTATGTCCTAACTATATATTTATCTTAAATTCATACCTTCCAGAAATGAGTTACGCGTGATAAGTCTTTGAAGTTTATTTCTTCAATACCTTCTTCAAACGGACTTTTCACAAACAAATCATCTACAAGTTTTGTGTACCAATACCTCATGTTGTTTATCTGCCCAAATGTTCCTGAAAAAAGTTATATTTTCAAGAAATATAAACAATTCTGGTGGGTAGAACTTAGATTACAGGAGAAGATAAAGAAATAAAGAGAAGTGTGTTATTTAAACAATTACAGACTTTTATCTAAGTTTAAATAAAACTATAACTTTCTCACTTTTTCAGTTGGAATACATGCACTGAATCTTTTTCATAATTCAGGGCTGTGGCTAATACAGCAGATGGCATCATTACTGCATAGTGACCAAATGTTTACCAGGAAAAACAATGTCTTCCCTATATATTTGACATCTGCACTATTGATCAGCTTCATCAACAATGAAATTTATGATTCTGTAACATGTAGTATTTGTACCACTGTTTAGATAATCAAGAGTTGATATGTATCTTGATTAAATGAATATCAAGATAAGTGAACAATTCAAATCACAGAGAATGTGTTTGAATGAGTATGTATTCCAAATTGGACTACAGTTTTCCTTTCCTGTTAAATTCATACTCTGGTAAAGCAGCACTCACAAGGTGCTAATGTTATATAATGAGAGTGGGTAAATGATCCTATTTGTACATAATAACATAAATATGAAAATAGGACTTGGCTATATAGACAATACAAGTACTCTATTTTATTATACCCTCTTGCTTGTAGTAACCTGTCTGAGCATCAGTTAGACTGTACTCTATTGTTATTGGTAATATCATGTAAGTTAAAATTTACTTACCTATTGTCACTATGAGCAGGAAGATTGTGTATATGATGAATTCTATGTAATTCACTTTGATCCCTTTCTTGTTAGTTTTTATATATGCAAGTACCTTCTGCTTCATTCCTAAAACACAAAGAACTTTGTATCAGTACTGAGAATTATTATAGGCATATTTTTTGGCCTTGTCTACTGTATTGGATAAAAAATGTATGTGACATGCCTTGATTTCATTTGTCTTTGGCATTTGGTATTAGCAAAACGAATGTTCTTGAGGTACCATGTTAATTACCATAATATACCTAGTTAAGGATCATGACCAGATTCTGTTATACAGTGTGTCCACAAAGTCCCTTCGGGGTTTTGAAAAATTGTGGCGCCAAAACAAATTGAGCTAGCCACATGCGGTTTGCGGCAGATTACAGTGAATCTCCGGAAGTTTTTTACTGACTTCAGTAGACCTCGATGTGGGCTCCCTTGGTAGCACTGAGAACGTCCAGACGATATTCGAGCTCTTGCCATGTTCTGTGGAACATGTACACTGGAATAGCCGAGATCGCATTCCTGATACTGGTCTTCAGGTCATCAAGTCCGTTAATTGGTGTTCGGAACACATTGCTCTTAACATAACCCCACAGGAAAAAATTCAGTGGTGTTATGTCTGGTGAACGTGGAGGCCAAGGCATTAGACCGTCTCTGCCGATCCATCTTCCTGGAAATGTCCTGTCTAGGTACGCGCGTACCTGCAGACCCCAATGAGGTGGAGCACCATCTTGTTGCAGAATGATGTGTGGCTGTAAGTGCTCAATTTGTGGTACTGCGTACAGTTCTAGCATGTCCAGGTAGTTGTTCATGTTGATCGTCTGATCTTGAAAAAAGAGACATTTCCAGGAAGATGGATCGGCAGAGACTATCGTCTGGACGTTCTCAGTGCTACCAAGGGAGCCCACATCGAGGTCTACTGAGGTCAGTAAAAGACTTCCAGAGTTTCACTGTAATCTGCCGCAAACCGCATGTGGCCAGCTCAATTTGTTTGCGTGCCACAATTTTTCAAAACCCCGAAGGGACTTTGTGGACACACTGCAAATTTAGAGCATCTTTCTTTTAAGAATGGATAAGTGGACTGAACTTACCAGTTTTATAGAATGTTGTTTGGTTGATAGTATGAACATTAAATTGAGTTCAAGTACTTGATCTAATTTTGATTGAATACAAAGAATTTTCAACAATAATCAATTGGAAATTAACTTTACCTTGCAAATAACCCTTTTGACTTTTACCAGAAGATTTTGATCTGTGGCCTTCTCTGTTGTCAGAGTCAGATTGGTTGCTTCCTTGGTCACTTGGAGATGTATTATTAAAAATACCCTGTTCACAATCACGTTCCATATCGTGATATTGAATGTCATCAGCTGGATATTCTTGTTTTTGTGCAGTAGAATCCGTTGTACTCAAAATTATTGTTGTTAATCTAGACTTTTCCGGTTTATTTCCTATCAAAACACAAATGCTTCTGACTGCATCACAACAAATCTTTGTTGTTTATTTATTATGACTAGCAACGGGCCACATTATCAACAATACGAATTGGAGCTTGCCTCAGTGATTTACCAATATTGTCGCTGTGGTGAAATGCACGTGACCATGATAGAACAAATCATATTTTAGAATATCCTACATACGGTCATAACAAAATGACATGAGGAAAGTCAGGAAGTAAATAAAAAGTAAAAATAAATAAGAATATTGTAAGCGATTGAGGTGCTGTGATCTGGTGGCCATAGTTGTAAGTATGTAGTTTGTTTCTACATACACATACAATGTATCCACAGATAATATCTCAAGAACAACTGAAGATAACGAAATGGCGGATAAGGAAATTTGTGATGTGGACCGGCAGTATGTGTGGTAGCTATAGTCTTTAATAGCCGTTGGCATAGAATAACGGGGTTGTTGGTGTGATAACGAAGCTGAAGGTAGTTTGTTGCAGATTTGAGGAGAGGGTTTATGCCAGTGTCTCTCGTAACGAAGTGTATGTATGAAGTTCTGTGCTGAGGTTCGTGGAATTGTGACCTAAAGCACGTAATGAAAGCTGTTATTGTATCGCAGTATAAATCGGTCCCGTTAATGAGTGTATGTAATGTGCCCCACCAGTTCAGTGAATGTTAATATAGTAATTATTTATTGAACTGATATCCACATTCTTTTTCCAACCTATGTAGGAGTCTGTATATTCCAGCAGTTTTATTTAAATGGTAGCATTACTATTGTGCATGTTAAATATCTAATAATTACTCCATTCGAATATTTATACTGTTTATCGACCAAAATTGCATACAACTTCATTCAATTCTTGTGTACAAACAGTGTATTGTAAATCTTGCCATAGATATTTTAGTAAATTATATTACTGTTCCAGTTGAGGTTATGTTCACAAAGTGGAAATCTAATTCTTAAATGAGAAGTTATCGAGTTTAGCCAGTCATGCAGACAGTAGCATCTAGTGCCTCTGAAAAATGTTTAAATTAATATAATTATGAATTTGCTGTTTAGTGTTCCATGTGCTATGTATGTGATTCTTTTGATGAAGTTTAAAATGTTGCAGATGTTTCTGGATTTACTTTTACAGCCATTATTTCATCGTGAAATTGCTTGTGCCTTTGTTGTGTATGATATGTCAAGATTGATAACATGGGGTTATTCCATGCAAAATCAACACACCAGTTGGCATGACTGTCTTGGATTTCAATGATATTTTGTAAGCCTACAGAGTCTAATGAGTAAGAAACTTTTCCTTCATATGTTAATTAATATCAGAGTCATTAATAAATTTCCCTACTTTCTGATTCAGTGCGCGATGCTGACCACTTACCCTCATCTAGTGCCAAGGTTAAGCAAGAGTAGGAGCTATACTTCTTCTCCCCCAAGTGCCTACATGGCATGTTCAGGACAGCTTTGCTATCTTTTTGTTACACATGTTGGTGACTTGGATTAAAGATTCAGTAAACTGCTTGGTATTGCAACATTAATAAAGAAAGCAAAATAGAATCCCGGCAAGCTTATTCATTATAATACTAAAATTATTGTATTTAAATAAGAAATATCTGTAAGAATAGCTATTTACAATCTACAAATCCTGATTTATAGTTTCTTGGTGGTGCATCAGGATTCCTTTTCACTGATAATTTATGTGCATTCCATTGCAGTTTCTGAATCCACTTTTGTAAGTACTTGTGAAACTGGAACCTTTAAAATGTCTGTTGGTGAATAATACGTGAAAATTCAGTGGGGCCACATGGATGCAAAAATGTTGGTTGAATTTCACTGTCATTCACTCGTGACCACACATGCTAGTCACCATTTTGACATATTCACATGTTACATATTCTCTAATGTCTTCCATTTGATACTCTTCATGTTAAATGCATACTGTGTTTGTGGTGTTGAACATATTTACATCTAAA